AACTTTGATACATATTCCAACCTTGAGATTTGTTCAAATATTTTCATAATAAAATGTGAGAAAAGTAACCAGAAGGAAAAACATCTTTTGCTGCTACCAAGAATTGTAGGAATGATTGCATAGAATGACTCTGATACCAACAATAGAGAGGAATAATTAACCCTAAAATACATTATTCATCACTATTATACTTTTTTTCATAATGATGAGTGTATGCAACTGCATAATTCCTATATAACTACTTATTTTAAAAGTATGACGTTTTAGTCATCATATGCCTTTAGCATAAGGACACAAGAAAAAACTTGGCATTTGCTGGGCAATTGCATTTGAATTAAATTGATTTGTACCCAAGTGATTAACTCTAGTGTTACTGGTACTGTCAGCATGTGGATGTCTATTCTAATGCGCTCAGATTGGTGTATTAGAATCTTTACCAAAAATCCCAGTTTTCCCCCTACTAACTCTAATCCCTGAACTATTTCTTCCCCATCTTTTTTACAACTGCATGTTTTACTGTTTTAATTACAGGAATTGCGAAACCGAGCATAAATATGAAGATTTTAAATGAAGACTGGGTACAATTTTGGGTTGGAGAAATATCAAATTGAGTGTAGAGCACAGTTTGCACAAGGTTAAAGGGCATTCGTTCGAGAGGCAAGAGAAGATGACTGTTTTATTAACTGCCATTAACTATTGTGTGACCTTATGTAAATTAGTGCAAATTAAACCCACAATGACGTATATGTACATAACCACAAGAATGGCCACTTTGCCTCTTCCAAATCTCAATTTTCTACTGCAGCTTTTAATTAAATGATTTCTCAGGTCCTTACTCATTTTGAATCTTTTTTTTTCTTCTGTAAAAATAATTCGTTTCACTTCAACTAAGTTTTTATGTAGTCGTATTCCAAGCACAGTGCTAAGTGCTAAGTATATAAAGATGAATGGAATGTGATTCTCCCCTTCACAGTGTTCACAGGCTAATAGAAAGACAGATATGTGATCCGTAGACAATTAATAGGAAATAGTAAGTGCCACTGGAGAACAGCCCAGAAGAGGAACACATTCCCCAGTCCAGGTAAAGTCAGGGGTTGTGGAAGTTTCTCTAGAATCTATGTCTGAACTAAGTCTAAGAGAATGGAAAAGGCTTCACCTCCTATGAGGTGGCCAAGGTGACATGGGTGTCCCTCAAAAGAAGTTGAGAACTGTTGGTAAGAGCTGAGTGTCAAACAGAGGCAGAGGAGATTGAGGAGGAAGAAATGGTATGTATGTTCCACATGTATCTCTGTGAAAGTGGATGATGCCACTACTCCAGCCCTGCCTACAAAGGCATAAACTGGATTTAGTTAAAAATCAGTCAAGAAGTAACATCTAGATCTTAGTCTATGATGTGGTTTGCAGACTATATGAACCCCTGAAGCACTAGAAAGGGGCAGGGACATTTATCCACAGCACCAGCTGTGTAATTAACTGCCACTAAAGGCCAGAACATCAGCAGGCTTCAACAATGAATCAAAGCAACAATAACAGAAGCCACTGCGGCGGCAACTGCTTACCATATATTGAGCACCAATGGGAGAATGCGTATTACACTAAATGTCTGAAAAAGTATCAGTGGGAAATTGGTTCCAGGACCTCCTTCGGATACCAAACTCCATGAATGTTCAAGTGCCTGACATAAAATGACTTAGTCGTTGCATATAACCTATGCACATCCTTCCACATACTTTAAATAATCTCTAGATTACATAGAATACCTAATATAAATGTTATGTAAATGGTTGTTGTATTGTCTAAGGAATACTGACAAGGAAAAAAGTCTGTACATGTTCAGTATAGATGCATTTTCCCCCAATATTTTCAGTCCCACAGATATGGAGGGCTGACGATATACCATCTCAATGAATCCTCACCTATGAGATCAACAGTAACCTTGCATTTTGTATTTCTGCTTTGCAGATAAGAAAGTTAAAACTCAATGAAGATAAAATAATTTGATAAAGATTCCATTTCTGGTAAGTATGAGGTAAAGTCATCTGTTTTGACTTCAGAGCTCTTGTCACTCGGAGCTGCAGAAGGGTCTCCCAAATCCAGCTGGCCGTCAGGAACACTGGGGAAGTTTTGGAAGAAAACCAAATTCCCAAACCCTTGCCTAAGATTTACAGAATCAGAATGCTTGCTGTGTGGCCATAGGATCTGCAATTTTTAAAGCACTCTATAATTCTGATCACCTTGGTTTGGAAATGACTGGCCAGGTGCAATTGAAGCTAAATGTAATCAATTAAAAATTATGAAAGGTTTAAGGTAATGTTATATGGGGAAACTAGGACACTATGAAGGATAATAACTTAAGGAAATTGCCCCCCACCAAAATCTCAATATGCATTTGATTTGTAATTCAGACACATTCAGATGTATAGACTAAGTGACGTCCTTATTATTTAAAGAAAACGGTGATGCTGATGCTACAGGATTGATTATGTAAGCTCATTGAGGACACAGATCTTTTCATTTCAATCACTTGAGTATATACTTAGCACATAGTAGGTGCCTCCATGTGTTTGTTGAACAAAAAAAAAAAAACTTCCCCTCCTCCAAGAAGAATACCTCAGTCTGATTAAGACCTTTTTTCGTGCTTTCCCTAAAATCTATGTGTATAGATGCGCTACATCCTTCCCAGCACTTACAATAGTATACTCAAGTGGAGCTTTTGCTTATCTGTTGTTTCCTTTCCCAGATGATGGGTTGCTTGAGGGCAAGGGCTACATCATTTTCTACATGCCTTCTCAATACTTAGGAAAGTGTTTGGAACATAAAGGGCACTTAGGAAATGTGTTTTAAAAAATAAGTGAATTATAAATGTAAAACCTGCTTTTTATTCCTCAAAGCTAGAATAGAGCTCCTACTGACATGTATTTCCCTAGCTCCAAACCTGAGCACATATTCTCAGGAGAGCAGAGGAAGAGATGCACATGGAAGACAAAAGAAGAAAAGGGTGTCTGGGAGGGAACACCCTGGAACAAAAACTCACATGCGGCGTCATCCTTAGATCAGACGCAGGAGCTCAAAAGACTTAGCAAATGAGGAAATGTCTCCCCAGAACTAGACGCAATACATCAGCAGTTGTCATTTTCAACTGGTGTTTTTTTGTCGTAGAGGACAGCTGCTCTGCCAGGCCACAATTTATTTGGCCCCTTTCAAGGTCATCGTCCCTTTTCAGATCTGGTGCTGTGTCTAGAGTCTGGCAAGCCTGGCTTCTGAAAGTGGATTAGGTGGACCGTCGGAGAGCATGTGCCCTGGCCGCACTCCCGATTCTCATACTCAACTGCCTGGTGATGTTCTCTGAGGACAGCTGCCTCTTCAGTCGCTCTTTGAATCTGAGTCACGCTCCCTATGCCCTTAGCCCCGTGCACTATTTCAGACATTGCCATTGCTCATGCTTGCCTGCTACGACTATCAGCCTTGTGCCATCATCACCTTAAGTATATTCTGGCAGGCAAGACATAAATTAGCTTGTGCTAAGGCCCAGAATCAGAAATTGAGTCACGACGGTTAAAAACTAAAGCAATGGATGAATGAATGAACTTCTTTTAAGATACTTGGGTCACTATATAAAATCTCATCTGTGTTTTTCCTTCTTTCAGTTCCTTAGAATTGCTTAAATTCATAATTCTTTCGTGCAAAAATGGGGTTATGTTGAAAGGCTATCAAGTCTTTTCCAGAAAAGTAGTAAACGAATCACACAACCCAGATGAGGTAGCTACCCATGCAGGCCCCTTGCCGCATCCTAATTTCTGTTTGAATTCCACAGGCTTGCTCACCTCAAACGAGGCAGCTGGAGGCAGTTATTGTTTACATAGAGAACAAAGAAAAGGGGTAATAACATAAATTTGAAAGTTCATTTCAAAATCCAGTGTAAGAAAATGGGAGCTGGGCTGAAACTTGGTCTAGAGAGAGGTGGAGAGTAGTTACAAAGTACTTTTACTTATTCCACCAGTTATTAGATTTGCATATTTTACTGTTTAATACACAGTCATGGTGGCATACAGAAAGAAGTGAGAAAGTGGCCTGAGGGCTTGTGACTTTGTGGCTTGCAGCCACCCCCGCTTCTCTCTTGTTCCACAGACATTCACACGTGTCCATAAATACACAATACACTTCTATGTATCTGTATGTACCTAGACGTATAAATACATCTATGATATGTATTTATATCCAGAGATATATAATCTAGGTATAAGGACATAGATATTTAAATATAGATATATTTAAACTAATGTAGCAAATTTTTTAAAACTCTGGAATAGCATATTGTAGCAGGCAAGCAACCCAGTGGCTCTACTCGAAAAGCTGTCTTGTCTGGCTTATGTGATATCCTCAGTGTTGTTTTTGAACAACTCCTAGAGTTGTTCATTGTACCCCTACTTTTAAGCGGAAGGGGTATGAATGTAAAAAGGACTCTCTAAACCTTCCAGAAATGTCTCCTTCAGGGAACCCATCACCTGGGACGCCAGAATCAGCTCGCAGAGGCAGCGAGAGAGGACCCTCGGCTCTGAGAGACACGCCTCAAGAAACAATTCCGGGCTGTGGTCTGGGCAGACAGGAACCAGACGCTCTGTCTCCTGGACGTCCCACCGCTCCATCGGAAGATGAAATTCTCTGAGTCTCTCAGTCACCGCATTCCCTGCTTCCAGCCAACGCCGTGAGAAGTTAGAGTCAGGAATGACCTTACACAGTCACGGCCCCCTTTCCTGGAGGAGGGAGAGGAGTGGCAGGGACGTGCCTGGAGATGGGGATGCCGCGGCCGGCAGCGCCGGCCCGGAACCCAGGCGCGGCCCCAGCTCCGTGGGCCGGTTCCCTTCGCGCCCTGCACACCCACCCTCCTCGCGAGGGCAGCGTCCCCAGCACACGCCTCAGCACCACTTTCCTCTGACGTCCGCCTCCCAACCTCTGACGATCGCCCCCGCCGGCCGTCCTTATAAAGGGGACTTTTCCCAATACTGGGATCGATAGCCACCTCGCCCCGCGCCGCGCGCCCTCCGCCCGCGCCCGCACCTGTCGACTCCGCGCGCTCCCAGGGGCTTGGAGACGCGGGGTGAGGAGCCGCCCGGACCCACCGCCCCGCCGCGCTGCGCCCCTGACCCCACCCTCCCTCGCCGGACCCGCACCCGCACCCCCACGGCTCCCGGGGGCGGCGGCCCCGGGCAGAGCGCGTCCCCGCACGGCGACCACTCCAGGTAGGAGCGGAGCGGGCTGCCCCGGCGCCCTCGAGGACGATGTGGGCACCGAGCCGGGCGGTTTTAGAGGGGAGGGGAGCGCCGCCTTTGCCTCTCCATGAGGATGCGCTGGCGGGTCGGCGCTGGTCTGGCACCAAGGCTCTCGGGGTACAAGTGGCTGCAGAGTCTGGGAGCAGGAGACTGGCAGAGGGGACCGAGGAAGGACAGCAGGGGGCCGGGGGAGCGCAGGACTGCTGGGGGAAAGAACTTGCTGGCTTGGTTGCTCACAAAGGCAGAGTCCACCCGGCCCGCGCACGCACCTCTTGCTTCCCCTGAATCCGAGGGAGACTAGTTCTTTCGCCGGAGGTCTCATCACCCACTTGCGTGCACAAATATCTGAGTTTCCCCTAGAAACTTGTGTGTGTGTGAAATGAGGTTCATGAAATAACTGTGGCCACGAAAGGAAAAAAATAAAAGAGAACAAGAATTCCAGAAGGGGAACGCTTTAGAACTTGCTATCTGTCTTCTGAGAGTCTTGCTTTTAATACCCTTGCCCTTCTGTTAGGTTTTTAGGCAATCCGTGTTTTTAAATCCTTTCTTGTATATACCATTAATGTGGGGCGGGGATGAAACGAATGAAGGACTGTGGATGAGGAAGAGGATGAAGAGGGAGGACCCTTTAAACAACAAAAACATATTTAGTTGATACAGTAACTTGAAATCCACGAACTTGTTGAAAATGTGGAGTTGATGTGTTTTTGAAATGGATTTTCCTAAAGTTGTTTCCCCCACCCCAGATATTTTTATATCAGATTACTTTTGGAACCATTCCCTGAAACTGTTTGAAAGGATGGCTAGAAGAATGAATGGATTAACCAGTATTTTAAAATTTTCAGAGTAGTCCTTTATGGTACACTTACATTACTGAATAATTCTAGTATAATAACTGAGTTCCACAAAGCAAATACAGCCATATCCTTTGTAAATGATTTATTGAGTTACTGAGTTAAGATACATGACAAGGTTAATTTTAAGTTGAAAGACTTTATTAAATATAAAATGATTATGATTCCATTTGTTAAACTACATCTTTTTTCTGCTTCTTGAAAACACAATACAATGTCCAGTTATTAAACGCAAGTAGGATAATATAGTGGACACTTGTTGGTAATACCAGTTTCACCTGCAATGTCAGTGTTATACTTGTTCTTTAAGCAGCACCAGATCTCTCAGGAGCCAGCTGGGTTTATTCCTGGCTGCCTACGTGTGCACAGTGCTTGGCTGGTTTATAATGCATTACTGTATTTTCTTCAGAAGTCTTAATGAAGTAGCCAGCTGCGGAAGAATCTGGACCGTTAGATGAAAAATGGCTTTCCATGTGGAAGGACTGATAGCTATCATCGTGTTCTACCTTCTGATATTGCTGGTTGGAATATGGGCTGCCTGGAGAACCAAAAACAGTGGCAGTGCAGAGGAACGCAGTGAAGCCATAATAGTTGGTGGCCGAGACATTGGTTTGTTGGTTGGCGGATTCACCATGACAGGTAGGTGCGGGTGCTGCCTGCTCCGTGCAGCCCACCACCCTTCCTTGGCTTCTGTGAGTGTACAGCAGGTGACTTCAGAGTGACAAAGCAAACCTTGTTCTTTG